ATGCAATGTCACAGGAAGGATGTGATGTCATATAGGAGATGTGATGTCATAGGAGAGGATGTGACATCACAGGGATGATATGGTATCACAGGAGAGATGTGAAGTCATTTGATGGATGTGATGTCATAGGAGAGACGTGATGTCACAGGAAGGATGTGATGTCATATGGGAGGTGTGATGTCACAGAGGAGTGACACCCCCCACACACACCTTGCTCCAACTAAAGCCCTGGAATTTTTCTTTGTTTCCCTTGGGTTCAAGGTCAGGCTGTTTTATTTCCATGGATGTCTAGAGATGAGTTCAGGGTAGCTCAGACCTTTTGGTGAGGAAGGACTTGTTTACTCTTGAGCATTTGAACTCAGCCTTTGTTCCTGGTTTCTTCCCACTGTTTCAGAGCAGTTCATTTCCCAGGGTGAAAGTTCTGATTGCCCAGCACAGTCAGGTTCTCCTGAGCTCAGGATGTTTCACTGGTCTCATTTTTCTCCAGTATTAATTCTGTGCCAAGTTCTTGCTTCCTAGGTCAGTGAAATGTTAGAAGAGAGAGAATCTCACCTGGATCTTGGAGAGAATATTTTATTCTATTGAATTCTTCCCTTCTAGTTCTGGATGACAGGATACCCACGTGGAAAGTCCCTTTTCTGGTTTTCAGGACTTAAAAGAGATGCTTTTCTGATGTCGGGATTTATTGGAGTGTTATTTATTCAACTGTGAGGGTTGAATTTAGTGTTCCTTGCACCTTTAAAAAATGCAACCCCTTTAATCTCGTTTTAAAAACCATGCATTAGATGTCAGAGGACATAAAGACAGCATGTACAGATAACCCTGATGTAAGTGATGGTTCCAGTCATCCCGTGTATGGATAAAAGATTTCCAAGGCTTTGTTCCAAGGCCGCTGCCCCGCCCCCACCCTCTGCCTGCTGCCCCCGCGCCCCTGGCGCCTGATTGGCCGCCGCCCCACCAATGGGCCGTCCCGGGGGTTGCAAATGTCCCGCCCTGCTGCATATTCATGAGCTCGGGGCGGGGCTTTGAGCCCTTGATCAGGCACGGGCGAGCTTTTGGTCCCCGCCCGCCGCCGCCGCGCCCGGAGCGTGCCCGTGCCGAGTGCGCAGGGTCGGCCATGGAATGTAGCAAACAGCCTGGCTGGCGGGAGCACAGTTTGGGAAGGGGGCGCAGGGAAAACCCACTGGAATGTTCCGGGGTAAATAAAAGAAAATAAACAGAGGAGGGTGCCCTTTCAGATATGGTTTATAGATCAGTGCACTGTGTATAGTGTAAGATAGCTTCAGAAATGTAAGAATGCAGTTTCTACAGCTTTTACTACAGCGACACGTTTTTTATAAAATATGTAAAGAGATGATAAGTTGGGTGTTAGGTTGGGCTTTTTTTAGTGTTGTTTTATTTTTTTTGTGGATGCTTTGTCCCCGCCAACCCCCTAAAGGAGCTTTCTTGAATGTACCTTCTTGCAGCTAATTTGGTGGATTAGTTTAGATAAGCCTGTTAGAGTAGATGCATTTCAGTGAAATCAGGGCACGTGTCTTTTTGGCTCTGGTGCAAGGTTCGAACTAATTTTTTTCTTCCTCTTTGGCTCAATTAAAAGCCATCTTAAAACACTCCCAATATATTGTGTGAGTGCAGGGTTTGAGGTGTGTGGGATTGAATGGACACAGAGAAAGAACTAACATTCAGAAACATATCTGCTTCTCTGTCTCAATTAATAAACCCCACAGTTTGACACATTGACTTCAAATTCCCACAGAAAAAGTAGCAGTGTGTATTCCCTCTGACACCTTGGCCACCCTAGAGCAAATAAAGATGCTGAGGAGTAAAAAGGAGCTCCAGCATGCTCTGGGTTTATTTGCTTTTTGGAGAAAACATGTTCCAGACTTCTCCATTATTGCTGCCCTAGTGGCATCATGTCAGATAAGAAAAGGAGTTGGATAAATAGATAATTCCTTCTTTTTAATAATGGGTCCATAGTGGGCCAGATTTCCTCTTTTTGCAGGAACCTGCCAGCAGATGAGATCAAACTGCGTGAGAGCGATAAAGCTTTCAATTGCTGCAATGGGCAGAAGAGATAACTGCCCCCACAACTGCTTCTGTTATCAGTTTACAAGTATGCCATGAGAAAACAAAGTGGCAACAGGACTGGAGAGTTCTACTGTTCTTTGCAGCACTGATGGTTTGCATGTGTTTGTGTTTTTATCTTAATAACTTTGTGATGTGCACGTCTGTGTGTATTTTTGTCTCAGTAGTTTTGCAATATGTAAAAGTTTACCACAAACATTGTGTTTGCGTCTCCTCTGCTCCCAAAATTGCTTGTATGATCAGCTTATTAATAATTGTTGACTTATTTGTGTTTTTATCATGAGCAACTCACTGGTAAGATTGTGTAAGACAAGCCATTTTATGTATTGCTAGTTTAATTTTTGTCAAGTTTATTTTGTCTTTTTTTTGAAAAACAAGTTGGCTTGGGAGAAGATTTTAGATATGTATAATTCTGTCTCAATCAATTGAAAGTCCACCAAATTTAGCCTGGGAGTTTGTACAAGAATTTATGCATATTTAGAATCATACAAATATGTATTAGATGCATTAACCCCCTGCCTCTGAAGGCATCAAATTTTATATTTGGCTAAATTTCTCAAAATAATAACAAATAAAACTAAATCTAGACAAAAGAAAAGAAAGTGTGACCTGAAGAGAATATAAGAAAGCCTTGTACCAACTCCCAAGTAACTCAATGTATTTGCATAAAAGTGATGGGTAATTTCAGGTCCAATTTCAAGACACATTGGCTCCTCTAACAGACACAGTATTATAGAACAATACTACTCACAGGATAGAGACAGTGGCTAGTGAAAATTAGTTTTGTGACAGTATTAAATCCTGATGTTTGTACCTTTGTTAATATTAGGAAATTTTACTGTAGCTATTGAGATCCTGTTATGTCCCATATGCTTAGTATTTTACTGTAAGGTTTTTTAGAAATTGCATTGCATTGGGAAAAGATTTGTGCTATCTCTTCCTTTTCTTTACTTTACTCTCTTTCTGTCCACTACAGGAAAGGCACTGCCCACAAAGAAGATTCACAGTGAACAACAAAAGAAGAGAAATTATTGAATGCATAAATCACAGGGTGGTGTCAGAGACTGAAACAATTCATGATTTGTGCATTCTAGGATTGCCAAGGGACTCTTGCAGGCTTCTGCAGGACTTTTGCATTAGACCTCTGATGGCCCATCAAAGCCCATCCCCCCCTCTGCCAACCTTGAAAGGCAGGAAAAACCCTTTTCCCAGGCCCCTCACGGGAACTCTGCGCAGGCCCAGGAGATGTTGGGGGTTCGTGGCATGGCCCGGGACACCATCCATGGATATAATAACTCATAACTTCTTGGAGTGTGGGGGCTTCCCTCCCCCACCCCCAATGGATCAAGGCCACCAACTCACAGACATGGAAGCTGCAACTCCCAAGTTCCATCGCTGGACCCCGTGGGCGGTGACTATAGACATCTTTCCACTCTCAGCTTTGCTTTCCCTTACTCTCCCTTACCCTTATCCTGTCTTTCCTTGCTCTCCCTTATGCACTTTCTCCAAAGGTTATCTTTATGCCATATTGCTGTAGATGAGAGATAGAGATGATAACACCCAAAATGGTAACATACCTGTTTACCTTTGAAACAAAAGTGTTCTAAAAAAACCCCTACATATATATATTTTCAAACACTCATTATTAAGTGTCGTTTCACTCTAAATCCACCCCAAGGGATTTTTTAAGAACCTGGGTTACTCTCCCTTTCTGGGGCGGGTGCTAACAGACCCCTTGTAGCAGGATGTTCTACCTGGAAAAGAATCTGATTAGAGAAAGCAAGCACTGCAAGCTCTCTGTGGGGAGTTACTGCTGGTGCCAAGGGGTTGGTTTAGTGTTGAATTGTGCCAAACCCAGCCTGGTTCCCCAACCTTCCAACACACATCCTGCTTTTGGAAGCAGAGTTTGACAGACCAGCTGCTCACTGGCCTGGGAATATGTGGCTGGCCATCCATCACTGGATAAGCATAAAAGCCCAGGTCAAACTTTCATAGAGCAGATTCTTCCACAGACTTTGTTGAAGTGTGTGGAGCTTCTGCTGTGAAGCAGGGACGCCTCTTGATGGTCACTGCCCAGGGGGTAAAAGAAAGAGAGATATGCCTTGATTTATCTCTGTTAGACACTGCCGGGCCCTCCCCGCTTCCTGCCCGGTCCCGGTTATTGGGGGGCAGTGGAGGAGGGGCTTGGGGGAATCCCAAGGGGTGGAGCTGAGTTTGGGGGGGGCAGAACCGGCCTGAGATGGATCGAGAATGGGGATCCCCCTGTGTCCCCCCGTGTCAACCCGCTCTGGGTGGGATTTGGGAGGGCACCTGCCCCTCAGTAAAGCATCCAGCTCACACCAAAAGGTGCTGGGACCCCCAAAAACCTTCCCACGGCCCCTCAAAGACTCCCAAACACACTCAAAGCCCAGCCAGGACCCCACCTAACTCCTTTTCTGGGGTGCTGGGGGCTGCTGGATTCAATCTCAGCCTTGGATTATGACAACACTTTCAGTTTAGAGGAATTACAGAGCTGTGACTGAAACACTTTGTCCCCCAGCTTTTAATGATGGCAAATCAGATCTATTGATAGAAATGAGTTATTTAGGGTTACAAATGATCAGACAAAAGATCTTCATCAGAATTATTTACTGCACAATACAAACACTAAAACTACCAGGAGTACAGGATAAGATGGGACAGTGCTCTACAGTAAAGCAATTGTTGAAGCAATTCTACTCAAGCTGGCACAAAAGCACTAATTCTTAATTAGAGATGGATGGAACTCCCCCAGACCAAAGCTCCTGGGGAGATCTCTGCTCTCAACCTCCAGCAGTGACCTTGGGGGGCTCCCCAGCCAAGGCAGGAATCTCCACACACACCCCCAGGAAGGGTTCTGTTGGAAGAACCTGCCCCCGTGAAAGGGGACTGGCCCTTTGTGGTCGAAAGGGATGGACTGACAGTCACTGGACTCCAGGGGTTGCCTCACCATCAGGGGCTTCATTCGGGGTGGAAGCAGCAGCCGAGGCTCTTCCGCAGTTGGGGCACTCGTAGGGCTTCCCTTACTTGTGGGTCTGTTGGTGTGAGGTCAAGTAAGAGCTGCAGGTGAAGCTCTGCCCACACTCCCCACACTTGTAGGGCCTCTCCCCGGTGTGGATGCGCCGGGGCCAGACGAGGGTGGAGTTGTGCTTGAAGACCTTCCCACAGTCGGTGCAGCGGAAGGGCCTCTCATCCGTGTGCGTCCGCTCATGCAGGAGGAGATGTGCGCTGGTCTGAAACCTCTTCCCACATTCCATGCACTTGTAGGGCCGTTCCCCAGTGTGGATACGCTGGTGGATAAGGAGGTGGGAGCTCTTCGTGAAGCTCTTCCAACATTGCCCGCATGTATAGGGCCATTCCCCAGTGTGTAGGTACTGGTGGGTGTGGAGGGTGGAGCTGTCACTGAAACTCTTCCCACATTCCCCACACGTGTAGCGACGTTCCCCAGTGTGGATGGCCTGGTGTTGGATCAGCTTGGAGCTTTTGTTGAAGCCCTTCCCACATTCCCCACACGTGTAGGGACGCTCCCCAGTGTGTATGTACTGGTGTTTGCGGAGGGCGGAGCTGTCCCTGAAGCTCTTCCCACATTCCCCACATGGGTAGGGACGTTCCCCAGTGTGGATGGCCTGGTGTCGGATCAGCTTAGAGTTTTGGTTGAAGCTCTTGCCACATTCCCCACATATGTAGAGCTGTTCTCCACTGCGGATGTGCTGGTGGGTGAGAAGGTTGGAGCTGTTACTGAAGCTCTTTCCACATTCCCTGCACGTGTAGGGCCATTCTCCGGTGTGTATGTGCTGGTGTCGGATCAGGTGGGAGCTTGTCCTGAAGCTCTTCCCACATTCCAAGCACCTGAAGGGCTTCTGCCTGCTGGGAGGCTGCTCAGGGACCACCAGGTCAGAGCTCCCGCTCAAGCTCCGGCCACCTTCCCAGCACAGGCTGGGTCTTTCCTCCTCAGAGCACCCTGGGCTGGCTTTGGAGCCCCTCCTGTGGGGGGATCTCCGGCCCTTTTCCTCCCCGCTGCCTTCCTGCACCGTGGAGCCCTTCAAAATGGCCTCTCCCACCAGGGTCTGCCGGGGGGATTTGCCCTCCGGGCTCTCCATCCTCAGCTCGGGGCCTGGGGCAGGAAGCAAGAAGGACAGGGAGGGGATTTGCCTCTGGCCCACAGGGAAGGCCAAGGACATCCCCCCAACTCCGGCCCCGGCAAGATGGCGGTGGCAGCGGGGTTGTCCTGCAGCCGGGGGCCATGCTCGGCTGCCAGAGCCAGTACAACACCGGCCCAAAGGGCCACTGACTTCCTCCTCACCTGCCTGGGGGGCCCAAGGCATCTTCCTCTTCCTCGCAGCCTCCTCCTCCATCTGTCCAAGTTTTGGGAAGGAGAAATCCTGATGGGAGGAAAAAAAAAGGGCTGAGTGCGTTGGCTTGGGGGTTCCTCCTGCCCAAGTCCATCTCTAGAACTCACCGGGCATCCTGTGACCACAAAAACCTCCAAAACACCAAGATTCAGCCCAGAAAAACCCAAACCATCGACATTCAGGTAAAAACCCCCTCAAAAATAGCAGGAAGACCCCTGCCCCCTCAAACTGCAAAAAGTTGAGATTCGGCTAAAAAATACTCCAAAATATGAAGATTAGACCAAAAAAACTGTCCCAAAAACAAACTGGGGTGGGGGGGCAGCCCTGGAAACCAGGGCTTTGCTCCCTCAGCTCTGCAGGGGCTTCCCATGGGCTCTCGGCCTCCTTTGGGCATCCGCTGCTCCGGTGTGGGCTCCTCCCAGGCTGCAAGGGGGTCTCTGCTCCATCCTGGACTCATCCACAGGTCACAGGTCCTTCAGCTCAGGCTCACCCAGAGCTCCAGCCGGTTCCGTGGAGCAGTGATCCCCTGGCCCCCTGCCAGTACAGGCACCTCGCCAGGGCTGTTACTCGAGGTTCTCTGGCCCCCTGCCAGTCCGAGGCTGTTTCTCCAAACCACCAAACCACGTGTGCCAAACGCCCTGGTTGGTCAGTGCCGGCTGGGGCAGCGGGCACTCGTTGAGGGGATGAGAAAACTGCACCCGGGGCTGGGCTGAAAGAGGCTTCAGCACCACTTCTGATGGCCCAGGGGCAGCATCTGGCTTCTCCCAAACAGAGAGATGGCACTTGTTCCTCTGCAGGGAGTCAAGGGCAGGAGGGTGACTCCTGCTGCATGGATGGAATGGCAGAGGATCCCTTGGGTCCCCAGGATGGATCAGCACTCGGGAATACAAACTGCCCTCGGGCTCAGGATGCAGCTGCCAGCACAGATTTCCCTGCAAAGGCTGCAAGAAGTCAAGCTCTGGAGAGGAGATTGTGCCCCATGGATGGGATTGCAGAGGCTCCCTCAGGTCCCCAGCATCAATCAGCAACCAGGAATAGACACAAAAGGCCCCCAGAAAGATTTCTGGGGGAGTGTCCCGTAGGGAGGGCACAGTGTCACCCCACCAGGGTGGGGCTGGCAAGTGGGAGGCTGCTCCAGAGGTCTGCAAGAGGCCTCGTGCTCTGCTCGGCCCCAGCACTGGCTGGTACCAACACCCCCGGCTGCCCCCGGCCCTGGGCAGCTCTGCTGTCACAGGCTGTGCCCTCACCGTGGCCCTGCAATGGCCCTGCCTGTCCCTCACCCATGGCCCTGCCCGTGGCCCTGTCCCTTGGCTCTTTCTCTGCCAGCTGAGTGTGGGGCACACGGGCTGGGGGTCCCTCCCGCACCCCCCGGGCAGCCGGCGTTGGCTGGGGGGATGTGAGGGCTGGGCCTGCTCAGCACAGCCCCGGCCTCGTGCCCAGCGCCTCTTTCCTGCCCCACACAAGAGCTTCCCGGCCCCCCCAGTGCTCCCCTGCTGCTGCCTCTGCTCCTGGCCCTGCCTTTGCTGCTCCCTTGGCTGGGGCAGCGGCTGCAGGGGGGGATGGCAGCAGCTTCAGCTCCACGGCAGTTCCTGGGGGGAGCTCAGCCCAGGGGGGGACGGGCAGAGGCCTGATGGGGATGGACAGGGGCCCAGCAGGGACAGTCAGGGCCTGCAGGGGAAGGCACAGGGACAACCTGGCCCCCCCACACTGCCAGGGCTGTCTCTGCTCCTCCTTGCAGGCTCCGTGGTCAGGCACAGTTTGTGTTCCTGGGTGTCCACCATCTCAGCACTTGGAGCCGCTCAAATCAGCGCCCGCAGCTCTGCAGCAAAGCCCCAGCTCACCTGGCACACAGGGGATGGAGACAGCACCTTCTCGGGGATGGGCACCCACAGCTTCACGTCTTCCCCACCACAGGGCTGTCCTACCTCAGCAGCACCTCTGCCTTGCACTTATTCTCAGGGCCTGGTCTCGAGGACATGAACCTGCAGGGAGGGGAGATAATGTGCAAGCTGAGGGCTGCCTGGTTACACTGGCCTGTGGGCTTTTTTCTTCTTCTAGAACCATCCCAGAACTTATCCTGCTTTTCTAACATCACACTGGCCACACTCTGCCTCCTCTTCAGCTTCCTGTCCATCCACACTCCCAGCTCCCTTTCTGCCTGGCTGCTCTCCAGCCACTCTGGCCCCAGCCCGGGGGGCTGACGGGGCTTCTTGTGGCCAAAGGGCAGGACCCAGCCCTTGGCCTGCTTGAACCTCATCCCCTTGCAATCAGCCCATGGATCCAGCTTGGCCAGGTCCCTCTGCAGAGCCCTCCTGCCTTCCAGCACATCAACACACCCCCAGCTTGGTGTCACCTGCACATTTGCTGATGAAATGCCTGGTTCTGCAGCAGCTGGAGATGCTCAAGGGGCAGCAGGACCAAGTCTGGGGCCTGGGGAATCCTGGGAGCTTTGCGGTGTGGGAGTGTCCTGGGGGAGCTGGGGAGGGGCTTTGGGGATTGTGGGTACAAACCAGGACAGACCAGTACAGACCAGTCTCATCACTGCTCCCCAGATCTCTCCTGGACCTGGGCAATGTTGTCGTGGGACACCTGAGCCCCCCCAGTGCCCTAGTACAGCCCACTGTGTTCCTGTCTCAGGGTGCCAGGTGATCCCTCTTTGGGGGGGTTGGAAGGGATTTGAGGGGGGGGGCTGGGAGAGATTTGGACAATCTGGGGAGTTTGGATGGGGTTTTTGGGGGGGCTTTGGGTGCATTTAGAAAAGTTAAAAGAGGTCTTAGGGGCATTGGGGCATCAAATGGATCTGTGGGGGGAGGGGATTAAAGGGAAAATGGAGGTTAGGGGACATTTGGGGGGGGTTAATGGGGCCCAGGGGGGGAGGAGGGACTGCACCAAGAGCAGGTGAGTCCTGAGACCCCCCCCGGTGTCCTCAATACCCTCTTGGTGTCCCCAGTTCCCACCTTCACACCTCGAGACCTTCCTGGTATCTCCAATGTCCCCAGGGCCTCTCCATGGCTCCAATACCCCCCTTGGCACCCCCAATTCCACTGTCCCCAAACCCCACCCCACTGTCCCCAAACCCCATCCCTCATGTCCCCAACCATTCGTCTCACCCCAGGAGCCCCCCCTGGATCCTCTGACCACAAAAACATCCCCCCTCCCTGCCACGCTCACAGAAAGGCCAAGGGCATCTGGGGACACAATGGGGACAGTGGGGGGCTTTGGGGGGCACTGGGTCATTACTGGAGGATACTGGGACACACTGGGGGGGAACCAGGGGGCACTGGGAGGTTACTGGGGGATTACCAGGACACACGGGAGGTCACTGGGAGGTTACTGGGCCATACTGGGGGTTACTGGGTGCTCACTGCAGGATCACTGGACCATACTGGAGCAGTGGGAGGTCACTGGGAAACACTGGTTGGTCACTGAGGGGGTTACTGGGCCATACTGAGGGTCACTGGGATACACTGGGGGCACTGGGATCCCCTTACCCACATGTGGTACATCTCCCCTCCCGGATTTTTGGAGGCACCCCCCAGGACCCCTCCCCTGGGGGCTGGGGGAGCCCCTGAACCCCACTGCTGGGCTTTAGGGGACCCCCGGGCTCCCCTCCCTGTGGGGTCTCTGTCTGCTGAGTTTTGGGGGTCTCTGGGGTTCAGGGGGAGAAATTGGGATCCCCTTTCCCTGGGGTTGGTCTGCTGACACAGAAACCCCATGAAATCCCTACAAACCCCCTGAAATCCCATCAGAAATCCTCCTCTGGACCCATTGAAACCTCTTGAAGGACCCCACAAATCCCCTCAGAGACCTCATTTCCCCCCAGGACCCCCTAAACCCTCTCAGTGACCTGCAAAACCCACCTCGGACCCCCCAGGCCCTTTCAGGGACCCCAAAAACCCCCTCAGGGACCCTCAAAACCGTCTGGGACTTATTAAATCCCCCTAAAAACCCTTAAAACTTCTTCAAAGACCCCCCCAAGCCCCCCAGGACCTACCAATTCCCTCGGAGACTCCAAAACTCCCTCAGGGATTCCCAAACCTCTTCACGGACGTTCAACTTCACCCCTAAGTCCCTTCGCAACACCAAACCCCCTCACAGACCCCCCAAAATCTCCTCAGGGACCCCTAAAAGCCCCTAAGGGACCACAAAACCACAGAACAGCAGAAGAACTTTCTGTAAAGGAAGGGAGCAAACAATCTGAGAAGGAGAAGACCAAGGAAAATCTGAAGCAAAGCAATAAAAACATCCTGGCCCTTGCAGTTTTTCCTTCACCTTTTCCTCACTTTTCTTTTTTTTAAGGTTCTTTTTTTGGTTGGGTGGTTTTGAATTTTTTTTCCGAAGGACTTTCTGAGGACCCGAATCGAACATCCGGGTTCTTGGGAGGCCTCCCGGGCCCCGCGGCCCCCGAGAGGGTTCCAAGGCCCTGCGCTCTGACCCTCGGGAACCCTCGAATCCCCCCCGCCAAACCCTCCCGAGCCCTTCAGCCTTTCCACCCACAGCCGCGCTCCCCGCAGACCCCGAGGGGATCCCCAGAGCCCCGCTCCCCCGCATCCCCCGCCAGCTCACACAGACAGAAGCAAGTCCCGCCGCCATCACGAATTCCCAGCAGCCAACACGAGGCTCTGCGCGCGCACCGCGTTTAGAAAACACCGCCACAGCCAATCAGCGCCTGGCCTGCGCCTTGCGCGGAGCACCACGGGAGTTGTAGTCTTTGCGGTGGATCATAGCGGCCATTTGCACGTGAGTGGAGC